TGGCCACGGTTGAGAAACACTACCATAGGTTGTCCATTATAACTCAGTTTTCAGGAGCTTCTGGAAAGCCAGGACATAGAGGCCAACTCCATTTCTAAAGGGAGGCTGTTCCATAAAATAAGTGCTGCTACTGAGAAGTTCGGCCTATGAGCTTTCACCCCCAACAATCTGCACTTCTTTAACCAAGTTCTAACCGTTCCCCACTTCCAAGAGTGTGTGTGAAACCAGGCTACAGATAGCATTATTGGCATTCAAAGAATTATCAAGCCTGTACTCATTTACCTAGGAATGATCATTTAACCCATCAAGCACGTTTTATAGAGTGGACAGTTGTCTTCTCTAGCCCTGAGGAATTTCTGAGTTCCTGGATGGGATTAGTTATGATTCCAGTGCCATAAACCAAACTAGCCACACATCCAACAGTGGTATACAACAACTTTTTTCGAGTATATGGCCTAATAAATGTATGAGCATTTAAGACAAGACTTCTTAAAACATTCCTGCAGCAAATCAACACAGCTATCTTTCTGGAACTGGAGTCTGCACCGAGCAAAAGTTTGGACTAGCTGAGTTCTAATGTCCCTTCCAATTCTATGATTCTAATTTTTATGGAGGACACCTGTTAGGAACCAACCACCCCATGTGGCTTCTTAGGTTTTAGTTTCTGCTAAATACATTCAGGTGGAATTGCTCTAGGGTTCTCATCACTGTATTTGCGCTCAGAAAGAGAGAAACATGTCTATGTAACTCTTCTCACTTGAAAGGCACATAGATGTTGCACACTCCCACACTAAGTCAAGGATCTGTAACATGTGGTCCTCCAGATGTTGCTGAATGACTATTAGCAACCCTCCAATGTGCTGGATGGGACTGTTGGGAGTTCAACAAAATCCAGAGGGCTGCCCATGACATACCTATACAGCAATAACTCATGGGTGCTGTGGTGCACGGCATGGGAAACCACATCCAAATACATTTTCCTGTATCTGCTAATGTCCCACCCATATTTTTAATGATTGTCTGATAAGAACTTCTGGGTTGTGGTTTTATGTTTTTGATTTTGGTAACAAGATAAGAGCAATGTTCCAATAGGAGTTGGAGTTGCTACACACAGGGTGGAAGAAGGCTACATCCCCCATCCTTTGGGTCCCTGTTCTACTCTGCATGGGGGGGTAATGAAAACACAGATGGGAGTAATAGTGACACTAAAGAAGCCCCATCATAAACTACTCCATTCTCGTAGTTCTATACCTGGAGAACTAGGGTAAATTAGGGAAATTAGCCAGAGATTCATTCTCTGCCTTGTTTGTTTATCATAGGATACTTAAGTAACCCAAATTTTGGTTAAGGCACTCTATAATATCATAAAACTTAATTTATAAAAATAAGTACAGATGTCATGCTAAACGTAACCATACTATGGGTTAGCAGTTTGAACAAGCTGGGTCACCTTTGGGCTTGCACAACCCCATCAGTACAAATTTTGCAGCCACGGAACACCAGCTGATTTTGTACCAACTTGAAGAAGTTGCACAAAAGCCCAACACTGCTGGAAAAATAATTCATCCTAGGCTAAGAGGGCAGCATAGTTTATGACAACAATCTACCTAAAAACTCATTAAAGCCTTTTCTCTTAGAGTGACATGCATTATCAGCAAAGATTAATCTGATGAATCTTTAGGTGAGCTTCATTTTTAAAAATGCAATAACAGAGGGCTTTGTTGTCATCTGATGAAAATCAATTAGAGTAGGTAAGGCCACAAGGAAAACTAACATCACTCATCACCAGACCCCCGGCAACTGAAATGATCTGTCTTCCAAGGTTGGATGATCAGGAGGCTGCAGTAATATCACAGGGAAATTAATTTAGTTTCTTTATTCTAAACCCACTTTCCTAGTTCTGGAGGACCTATACACAAATTATTTTTAATCAAGGTTGATGTGTTATTAATACCAAGGAAGATCTTTGAAGAATCATTTTTTTAAAAAAATAAGACTCTGGCATTTTTCATCTTGTAGCTTTGTTTATATAAAAGAGAGAGAAGGTTACCTCTCCCAAGACTTACCTTCTAAGTTCTTTGTCCACCACAAGACACTTTATGGAGTGTCGGAGGCAATAGATCCCACCAAATACTGCACACATCCTAGATGAACATCAGAAATCAAGAAAACAAGGCATCTGATTTAGGGTATTTCAGCTCTATTTTTTCTCAAGCAAGAATGTTCACTATGATTCATTTAAAACAATCCATGAAATAGGAAACATTGAAACATCCAATAAGATAGCAATTCTATACAGATGTTTTAGGAATAATCTCCTAGGCATACAATACTTGCATATAATGTAAAGAGAAATCAGGGCAGTATTTTAGCAAAGATTGGTTTACAGCTGGTTTATCATCCTGACTTATTTGGGTCCATTTAACAATAATTGTGAACTTGTATATAACAACCACCTTATGGTTTGGTTGGCTGCTCTCAAGGAAAGAGGAATGCACTGCAGGCAAACAAGTTCTGTACTACCTTGTTTGTTCACATCATGATTTATTAAGCCAGGATTCCTGGAATACAGTGTGATGCAAAAAACCAACCAACCAACCAACCAACCTGGTGGGATTTATGCAAGGAAAACATGTAGAGGATGCCCAAAAACTCAGATCACATGCCATCTGAATTCTTGGAGGGGAAAAAGCAGCTAAAAATAAAGCCTAAATAATTATTAAAAAATTCTGTATAATCAGAAATAATATTTCATTCAAAACTTGGCTCAGGGAAGTGCTGAAATTAAGTTTCTTTCCTGAAGACCATGATGAATATAATTGAGAGTCAACCTTGAATTATTTCAGTCCTCCTCCCTGAGGCAAATGCTATCTTCTTGCCTTAATCGGTTTAAGAGTTTGCCAGCACAGCTGTTAACCACAGTCAGCATTAACTAGATCAATGATCAGAGCCCACTTGAGATGGCTCTTTCAGGTGGAGGTAACAGCAACACAACGAAGACTAGCATGTACATGATAACTAGAACCTAGATTACATGGGCTACCAAGTATTTTTAGAAAGCTTTTAATAAAAATGTAGGAAGAACCCTGCTGGATCAGGCCTTATGCTCACCCAGTCTATCATACTTGACTGGTATGAGCTACCTGTGTGCAACAAGATGCATTCAGATGCATAAGCCTGGTGTGGAGGACAATCACTGCCTTCTAGTTGCTTCTTGGAAACCAATATTGTTGCCTATGATTCAGAAGGTAGTGAAGAGTCATAAATATCAGTAGCCCATTGACAGCCTGATCTTACATATTTTTCATCTGTTCTGAAGCCTCTGACTTGATTCACACATCATGATCATGACTCGTTTAGATATGGCTTACTGGATAAAGTCTGATTTCACACAATACAGCTATATAAACCACACATGGAGCCAAACCCAAAGCCACCAGATTACTGCTTAGTGTGAGATCAGCCCATGAGCTTCCATGGGGGCAAATGGGATAAGTGATTAAAGTTATGTCATGGTTACATGGTGCAAATGCTTTAACTTACGTACTTGTGTCAAAAGTCATGACGATTATGGTATCATTTACACAATGATGTCGTAATATAGAGGTCTATGTTTTGACCTCATTTTGGTTTGTTACAGACATCAGTGGACACAGCTGATTAGCTGTTACAAATGTCTATGGCTCAGTAACTGTTGCTAATGGCACTACATGAAAAAGCACCATGGTGCTCTCAGTTAATAAAATCTGGTGGGTTCACCTCCTACCATAATTGTTGCTTCACCTCCTACTGCCAAAATCCACTGATTCACCAGCTTGCTCTTAAAATAGCCTCTTGGACTATAGATTGTCACCCTAGATCTCTGGCTGGAGAACAATAATCAAGATCAAGTGACAAATGATATGGCAGATGCTGGAACAATGCCTTTGTGTGAGTGTGATTTCAATAAAGGTCCCTCTCTCAATTAAAAGAAAGGTCACCAAATGCAAAACCAGAGTGACTGAGCAGCTAAAAACAAAGAGAGGGAAACACTAGAGGAACCCAGCAGCACCAAAATAAAAAGGTCTGACCTTTTTTTCTCTAAAATACAAAAATAAACAAATATTTCCAAAAGCAAAATAATTAGTTTGGTTTGTTCACAGAACGAGAAGCAGGGTCTTTGGCAATTCAATACAGCAAACTAAACACATGTGTTTATTAGAGAAACGTCTGCTGAAAATAAAAAAAAACAACGCCCAAGTATACAGCCACAGCAACTCACAATGACGGCAAGAGCACTCAGTGATTTCCCCCCCAGTTAAAACGATCTACTTTTTCTTTTCTTTCTGCCATATCCAGCTGAATCAACAAGTGGAAAAACTGAACCGACAGGATTATTTTCACACTTCAAGGATAAAGTAACAAGAGAGACTGAAAATCGTATGACTTCTGTCCCTGATTGGCCTTCCACTGAAACTGAAATGCTGTTTTCTTGCCTACTTAGCCAGAACAGAAGACCAAGATCCAGGGTTCATCAATTACTCATTTTTGCAAACCAGCTTTCCTCAACTCCAAGAAGCCTAAATGTGCTGGACCTCAGCTCCCATAGTCCCAAATCCAGTATGACTGCTGGAGAAAAGAACAGCTGGGCAAAACTATAAAGTTGACAGTCTCTACTCTGAAAGTTCATCCCATTCCTAGTTCTCGGTGTAGAATGGAATGGATGAATGAATGCCATCAGTGATGAACATTATGCATACACCAAAACCATACACCACACACGACAGTTTTCCATTTTGCAGACACAAAATAACTCTGGGCTTTAGCAATTGCATCTTTGTCCTGATCTTCCTCCAAGAAGGCGCAGCCAGCAACACATGAAGGACCTTCCCCATTATCCTCATTACGTATCCATGAATTGGGCTAGGATGAGAGAGGATCAATGAGCACTCTGTCTGGTGATTATAACCTCATTAAGTAACACAGTGATTAGGTTCACATATTTCACTGCCTATAGTTTGTTAAAGAAACCACAATTAGCTGAATTTACACGTTAAGCCAGAAATCCTGATTTACGAAGCACCATGTTAGGTTCACACACATCCTGATAGAACACATCCACATTTTGGCTTAGTGTACAATGTGTGAACTAAGCTTATGTACCCTCTTCAACCCCATTCACTTTGCTTATTGTATCAGGCCTCTTTGATTAAATGCTGATATCTTAAAAGTATATATCATCTTGAGGGCCAGTCAGGAAATGTACAAAACAGTGATAGGAACTGCAATTTGGCATTCATTTACTCTTTCAAAAAATCAGAAAAGTTGAAATCTGTTACGAAAATCAAACCCATTATCGTATCAATGGATTTTTCCCCTTCCTTTATTTACCATAGACTACTGAAGACGGTTCGGCTGGGGCTTAAGTACAAAGTAACTCCGATTACTATTAACCCTAAATAGACATTTAAACCAATATTCCTCTAATTAACTGGCTACTGTCTCTGCCAATAATTCCGGCTCTGCTGAAAGATCACGCCTGCTGCGCACTCCACTTCAACTTTGCCCTGTTGACATCAAACCACATTACAGCTAAATTAACAGTTGTGAAAATTTTGGCCCTGCTAGTCGCCTCCCCACTCCCCCGCCTCATCCTTTCTAGCCTTCCGACGCCATTTCAGTTTCTATCAAGGCAAAGAAATCAGCCACTGCAATTTCTAATACAACAGCACAACAATAGGACCCATTAATAGCTGAACTTTTGACAGCACATTCACAGTGATTTATGAGTTTGTATATAATTTGATTATTCTATTAATTCTACTGATTACCGCTAGAGCTAATCCAGTGAAGGTCACTCCCTAAAATAAATCTTCATTACACTTCACAGAAAACAACTGCCTCTAACGGGTTGTTTTCTTTAATTAAAACATGAATGTTACAAGAGGCTTCGGGCTTGGTGTGTCTGGTGCCGGGTGGGAGGTTTACATCACAGCCTGGAGATCCTCTTGGATCAGAACGTTTGGAAGCAGGAAATAAAAATAATAAAAATACTTCTTCATCAGATACCTTTGCGTTTGGTTCTCAAATGGCCCCACAAATAGTCTTTGCCGTTCATATCCGATAGGAACCCTGTTGCAGTCATAAAATGTCTTTATGGCCTACTTTCACAGTCCCACCGTCTTGTTCAAAATCGATACAGTAGTCAAAATCCTGTATAGTATTTGAAGGAGACATTGTAGGTGTGCAAAATCCTCACATTCGCTTAAACAACCCTTTAAGGTGGTTATTTGGGCATGTGCTGGGGGTAATGGAGCAATTTGTAAGTACGTGTCAGTTGAGGATCCAGTATGGGACTGCCACTGCTAAGATGCTAGTGTAAAACAACAGAACCTGTATTTTGGGGGGCAGGGGGTAATGACATTATTCAAGACTGGGTAAAGGAGTAATTGGGGTAAACAATTTAAGAACCACAGATTTAAGGTGACCCTTCCCCATCAGACCCTCTCCAGATGTGTGGTACCTTACATTCTAAATGCCTGTGTGGTTTTTTTAACAGCAAAATAATATGCCATTTTTAACAATAATTAGTACTGCAGAGGAGTTTGCAGACAGTCTAATAATTCTGAATGGGAGACCACAGTTGGTGGCTGATTTAGCATAAACTGTGACCACACTTTCATTCAATATAAACACAATCATGCTGAGTTCACCCACTGTGCTGTCATAAACCATGATTTAATCAACATAATCGGCCAAAAACCTAGATAGAATTAGTTGTTTGTGTATTAGATGATGGTCAGGGTTCAACTAACTTCTCTACCCTGAAGCTCAATGGGTGATTCTGGACAAGACTCACTGAATAATTTGTTGCTGTTGTTTTGATTTCTTTTTTGATTTCTTTTTTCTTTTGGTCTGTTTAATAAAGAAAAAAAAAAAGCCTGACTCAACCATACAGGGTTGTTGTGAAGATAAAATAGAGGTGGGGAATCCAGGTGCGTCACTGAGCAACTTTGTGGAAAGATGACAAATACATCTAATAAATAAAATCAGGCTAAAAGATAATAACCTTCAAGTTGGACGGGATATAGAACTGGTTCCTGCTTATTCTAGTCCAATGACGACCTGATTTACACATGGTGCTATACTATGTTTTGCTTAACTA